GCGAGAGAGAGAGAGAGAGGGTGTGTGAGAAAGAGAACAAGAGAGAGAGAGAGAGAGAGAGAGAGAGAGCGAGAGAGAGAGAGAGAGAGAGGGTGTGTGAGAAAGAGAACAAGAGAGAGACGGATGGATGTATTGAGCAACAGAGAGTAAGACAGAGAGAGGGAGAGGGTATGAGTAACTGTTTGATGTACGTACTCCACCGCTCGCTGCAGCTTGATACATAACATACAGAGACAGTATGTGACACAGTATGTGCCAATATGTGCCATAGACAGTACGTGACAGTATGTGACAGATAACTTACGGAGGGTATGAGTAACTGTTTGATGTACTCCATCACTCGCTGCTGCTTGACACATAACTGACAGAGACAGTATGTGACAGAGACAGTACGTGACAGTATGTGACAGATAACTTACGGAGGGTATGAGTCTGTTTGATGTACTCCATCGCTCGCTGCAGCTTAACACATAACTGACAGAGACAGTACGTGCCAGTATATGACAGAGACAGTACGTGACAGTATATGACAGAGACAGTACGTGACAGTATGTGACAGAGACAGTACGTGACAGTATGTGACAGAGACAGCAAGCGACAGAGACAGTATGTGACAGCATGCGACAGATAACTTACGGAGGGTATGAGTAGTTGTTTGATGTATTCCATCGCTCGCTGTAGCTTGATCTTCGCTCGTTCCGCGGTGTCCTCCACCGTCAGTAACACGTGCAGCTCCTCGTTAAGATGCTCCCAGTTTGGCTTCCCCCTGTTCGCCTCCTCCTGCAGACGAATCCGAGCGAAGAGAAAGAGAGGGAGAGAGAATGAAAACACGGAAGTCAGCGGGGAAAAAAATCGGCTTCCCCCTCTTCTGCTCCTCCTTCTAACGCGCGCAGGGAGACACAGGAAGAAAACACGAAATTCAGCGTGGAAAAAACGGAAAAATTGCAGAGCGTACGTTTGTTTGCCTCCTCATAACGCACGCACCAAAAGAGAGAGAAAGAGGACAAAAATACGGAAACCAGCCCAAAAAATCCGGAAAAATTGCAGAGCGTACGTTTGTTCGCCTCCCTTTCCACGACGAGGAAAGAGGAATAAAATACGGAAATCAGCGCAAAAAATAGGGAAGTTCGCCTCCTCCTAACGACTAAACTGGATCATAGTAATATTATTTTGTCTTTCTATTATTATTTTGTCATTACTCATTTTGTCATTTCTCATTTTGTCCTTGTATTATTATGTTGTCACTACTAATTTTGTCCTTATAATTATATTATATTATTAGCCATTTGGTATTAGTCATTCAGCATCTAATACACATCTGTCAACCGGATCATTATATATATATATATATTTAGCTATTTTTAAGAATGATTTTTGTAGAATTTCTATTCTTAATCGTGGAATTTATTTTTGTTTTTACATTCGGAATTTTTATCGTTAAATCATAGGAATTTTTTCAGGAAAAAGAGCAGCATGTTTTCCTTATTTTTCAAATATTATTATTGTTTTCATAATTTAAATCGTCAAACCTTTTCAGTTTACAAGTTTTACACGTGGAACTTTTACACGTGGAGAAAAAAGAGCCATTTAAAAAAAAATTTAACAGCTTTAAAAACAGATTTATCTCAATTTTAATCATTGAACATTTTAAGCGTTTTCAAGTGGAACTTTTGATTGGGAAAAATGGGAAAAAACAAGATAAAAAAACACCCGACTCTAACACGCCGCCTCTCAACCTCGCGTCTCAGCCTCGCGTCTCATCACATCTCAACATCGCATCTCAACCTCGCGTCTCAGCCGCGCGCGTCTCACCTTCTTCTTGTCTCGCATCGATCCCTTGCCTCGGATCATGATCTTACATCCGGTGTCCTGCTCCAGCTGCTTGGCCGTCATGCCGCGCGGACCCAGGATCCTGCCCACGAAGTTAAACTGCAACAAGAGATCGATCGATTTATTGATTGATTGATTGATTGATTAACCGGCCCAGAATCCTGCCCACGAAGTTAAACTGCAACAAGAGATTGATTGATTAATTGATTTTTTGATTGATCGATTGATTGATTGATGGATTAATGGACTGATTGATTGATGGGCCAAGAATCTTGCCCACGAAGTTAAACTGCAACAAGAGATCGATCGATTTATTTTAAGCGGCCCAGAATCCTACCCACGAAGTTAAACTGCAACAAAAGATCGATTGATTGATTGACTTGATTGATTGATTGATTGATTGGTGGATTAATGGACTGATTGATTGATGAGCCGAGGATCCTGCCCACGAAGTTAAACTGCAACAAGAGATCGATCGATTTATTGATTGATTGATCGATTGGTGGGCCGAGGATCTTGCCCACGAAGTTAAACTGCAACAAGAGATCGATTGATCTATTGATTGATTGATTGATGAAATGACTGCCCATACCATCCATATACCCATCCGCCGTCTCTCTCTCTCCCCCTCTCGTCTCTCCTCTCTCTCTCTCATCTCTCTCTTTCTCTCTCTGCACCTCTCTTCTCCGCCCTCGTCTCTCTTCCCCCTTAGCTGACCTCCCTTCTCTCTCTGCTCTCTCTTACCGCCTCTCTCTCTCTCTCTCTCGTTCTCCGCGCCCTCTTCTCTGTCTCTCCCTTACCCTCTCTTCTCCTCTCCCCTTACCCCCTTCTCTCTCTCTCCCACCTGTCTCTTCTCTCTCCTCTCCTTACCGTCCCCTCTCTCTCTCTCTCTCACCCCCTCACTCTCCATCTCTCTCTCGTCTCCTCTCTCTTCTCTCTCTAACACTCTCTCTCCTACTCTCTCTCTCTCTGCTCTCTCTCTCTCTCTTTCTCCACACCGCCCCTCTCCTTCTCCCTCTCTCTACCTGCTCTCCCCAAGACCACCCCCCCCGCTCATCAACACGTTTATCTATCCAGCTAATTGATCTAGCATATTGCGGTGAGTAAAGCGTGTTGCACTGCGTTTCTAGTTAAACGCTCAAGCTGATCTGTGAGAGACGTATACATACATTAGGATAAATGCACGGATGAGATGGATGGAGGAACGTTACTACTAGACTTAGTGAACTTCCCCACGCGTTTATATGTTTGGAAAGGAGGGGGGGGGGCGAGGTGGAGAAGTGGAAGGCAGGGAAGTGGGAAGGGAGAGAAGGAGAGGAGAGCAGGAGGAGGGCGGAAGGAGAGGAGGGTGATGGGGAGGCTGAAAGCAAGGGAAGGGGTGAAAAGGAATGGCTGAGAAAGCATGTTTGCACTGCGCTCTAGTAGATCGCTCACTGAGGCGGTTACGGTAGCGTATCTAATTGATATATTTGAGTCGTGATGTATGTTATGTATGTATGTTGTATGTATGTATCGTATGTACTCTTTCCCTATAGCGGCCAGAACCCGCCAAGCGATCTGATGCAATTTTCACAGGGCATCTCTTGATACCCGGGGAGTGTTCCTAAGCTGATAAGAAAAACCTGCCAAACGTCACAGTCAACGTCACCGAAAAATTAACGTGAAAAATCCGCTCAATTCGGTGAATCTTCACACAATGTCCAGCACTGATCTGTACAGTGGTCTGCACAGTCAGAGAAAAATCGATCACCATGTCCCATCAGCTGCTGGTATTGTGGAAACCCGAAACGCGATACTTAAAACAAGACATAAACCAGGAACGCTGGTTCAGAGGTTAACGACTGCATTGTTTTATCAAAGAGGCTTGTAAAATGTAGAAGTGCAAGCCTCATTTCGTACATGCTTGTTAGATAACTTTCTTATTTACACCAATATTCTGATTATGGTTCGCAGGGGTTCTACGTTGGGTTGTGCTGTCATATAAATTTCAATACGTAACCGTTTTTTACCATGCTTATTTATCTGATAGACTGATTTGTAAATATTTATAGAGATTGCACTATAGTTTAAAGTATGAGTATCATATAGTCTGAGAGTGTTACGATTGCACAAAAATCAACGCAGTAAGAGACGCGGTAACGCAAGTGAGTAAACATTTCTGTTTTATATTACAAATAGCCGCCACTCGCGTGGCCGCTGTCTGTATAACTATATTCGACTTTTTTTTATTCATGCTACGGTTTGTCATACATTTCAGGAATCGATTGTAGCCATTCGAAAGCATACTATACAAATGCCTTTTTCTGATTCAGTAGAAAAATTCCTTTGTATTTCATATGTGGCATGGTTGCGCGCAAGCCATTCACTAGACAATATCCAAGTGGACACAGACCCCACTGGCTGGCCTGTCTTCTTATCTATTACGTAATACCCAATTTCGTTTATTCATCCTACGATCTTGACAATGGATAGCTGTAATGTGAGTCCAACAGTTCGAGCGCCAGCAAGATCTCTAGCATATTTCCCACAGATCAATAAGCAGGGGGGGGGCGCAAGACCATTTTGTTTATCAGAAGGTTTTCAAGATGAGAAGACTGCAACCAATTCGTATGCATGCTGTTATAAATATACTTTTTTCTCATTTACACCATATTACTATTATGTTCGACAGTGGTTCTAAGTTTGGTTCTGCTGTCTATAGTAAATGTCCTGATCGTAAGCAGTTTTCCACATGCTTATTATCTTATTAGACGATTTGTAAATATTGATGTTGTGTGCAAATGTTATAGTTGTCGATTTTTACCCAATGTTCCTTATTGTGTGCCAATTATTAAGTCCGTATGAATTAGTAGCACGATTTTAACACCACAGCGCAGCGGGTACGCCGCAGCTAGTATATATATATCAGATGGAATGGATGGATGGATGGATTGGATGAGATTGACAACTCGTACCACAAGATCTAGTAACTTTCGCCTCGATCGGCGTCCGCCTCACAGGTACCGTCTGCCCTCAACTCACTCAACTCACGTCACGGTCACTCACTCCACATCACCGGCACTCACGCACGTCACTCACTCACTCACTCACTCACCGGTACTCACGGCACTCACGCATTCAACTCCCCTCACGCACTCACTCACATCTTTTGCACGCACTCCTCACTCACGTCACGTGACCAGCCGAGGCAGGCAGGCAGGGCGGATGGCAAATAAGCAGGCAGGCAGTAACTCGTCGGCACCGCACTTAACTCTTATCTCTAGCGTTTTCTTTGCAAATCTCGCTAAGAGCTGTATTCTCTTCCTGCTGTCTCTCTCTCTCTCTTCAATCTCTCTCCTCTGTCTGACTGTCTTTGGTCTGTCTGTCTGTCCTGTCTGTCTGTCGTCTGTCTGTCTGTCTGTCCTGTCTGTCTGTCTGTCTGTCACTGTCTGTCTGTCTGTCTGTCTGTCCTGTCTGTCCTGTCTGTCTTGCTGTCCTGTCTGTCTCCTGTCTGTCTGTCTGTCTGTCTGTCCTGTCTGTCTGTCTCGTCTGTCTGTCTGTCTGTGTCTTGTCCTGTCTGTCTTGTCTGTCTGTCTGTCTGTCTTGTCGTCTGATCTGTCTGTCTGTCTGTCTGTCCCTGTCTGTCTGTCTGTCTGTCTGTCCTGTCTGTCCTGTCTGTCTGGTCTGTCTGTCTGTCTGTCCTTCTCTCTATCTCTCTCTCCTCTCTCTCTCCTCTCTCTCTCTCTCAACCGTTCTCCCCTCTCTCTCACCCTCTCTCTGCTATCTCTCTCTCTATTGCTCATCTGCAACACACTGTCACATCGCTGGCCGCGCACGCTAGCTGCTGGCTACACTGCACACTAAAATCCTATAGTGTGCAGTACTATTTTTTATATATTTTATATCATTTATGTGTNTCTCTCCCAGTGCATGAACACGCGCCTCAGCCGCCTGCGTCCTCTCCCTTGCGCCCCCCCCCATTCCGCGAGCGAGAGACGCCAGCCCCCAAGCTTCAAGAAGCCCACACATCAAAACACCGTAACCGCCAAATATGAATATACACACAAGAACACACTCACACGCATGTGATGAACAAAAAAAATGCACGAAAAACAGCAAAATATATAGAAAGGCGGCTATAAATAGGCTTTGCCATTTTTGCCGTCTTCTAGCCGCCTGCAGCTGTCTGTGTGAGTAATAACCCTTCATGCACGGTGCTCCCCCTTCTCCCCTTCTCCCGTCTCTCTCCCCTTCTCTCTCTCCTTCCCCTTCTCTCTCCCCTTCTCCCGTCTCTCTCCCTTCTCCCGTCTCTCTTCCCTTCTCCTGTCTCTCTCTCTCCTTCCCCTTCTCTCTCTCCTTCTCCCGTCTCTCTCTCCTTCCCCTTCTCTCTCTCTCTCCTTCCCGTCTCTNCTCTCTCTCTCTCTCTCTCTCTCTCTCTCTCTCTCTCTCTCTCTCTCAACTCGCTCGCACACACGCACTCCATTAGCGTGAAACTCAACGCGCACCGCAGCGCGAAAACAGACTCCGTGCAACCCGCACGCAGCGATAGATGAAATCACAAATTGCCGATAACGACGAAGTCGGCGAAGAAAAAAGGAAAAAATCGGCGAGCGGCGACGGATGCCTCCGGGGAGGCTGGGAGCTCCTCGGGATGCGGTCGCCGCGGCAACGGATGCCCCGGGGAGGCTGGGAGCTCCTCGGGATGCGGTCGCCGCGGCGACAGATGCCCCGGGGAGGCTGGGAGCTCCTCGGGATGCGGTCGCAGCGGGGCGGAAACACTCGTTAGTTCCGCGCGCCGAATCGTCAACACAGAGTATCGCTGTCGGCGCGCCCGCCTCTCTCCCCCTCTCCCCTCCTCCTCCCTCTCTGCCTTCCCTTCCTCCTCCTCCCCCTCATCTTTCCCTTCCTCTCTGCCTTCTCCCCCTCCTCCTCTCCCTCTTCCAGGTTACCTTCCTCCTACCCCTCTTCCTTCTCCTCCTCCTCCCCTCCTCCTCCTCCTCCCCTCTCCCTCCTCTCCCTCTTCCTCGTTACCTTCCTCCTACCCCTCTTCCTTCTCCTCCTCCTCCCCTCCTCCTCCTCCCCTCTCCCTCCTCTCCTCCTCCTCCCCAGCACTCGGCGGT